CGGCGCTCGGCCCCGCCTGCCGGGACCCCAGGAGGCGGCAGGGCAGGGCTCCCCGCGGCGATCTGCCCGACCTGCGTTCCCCGGGAAGGGCCGGCCCGCTCCCACTCACCGGCTGTGGGCTCCAGCTCCGGGTCCTCCGCACACGACACCTTCCGCTGCTACCGCCGCGGAGTCGTGCGTGAGGACGTGCGCGCGCCAGCCTTTGTCTACGCCGCCTGACGTGCGCGCGCCAGCCGGGAAGGGCGGGGCCGAGGCGCACGAGGCCGCCTCCTAGCGGGGGCGGGGCGCCACCTCTAGGGTCGCTTTCACAGTGGGTGGAGTCGTTCTGGAGCACGGGCAGTCTGGGTTCCAGTCACCTTGTCACCTTGAGGCTCTTGGTGGACAGGCGAGATTCTGGATGTGAAGAATTTAGCTCAGGGCCTGGCCAGGCCAAGAAATATAAGCGACCACCGCCCTGTCCTCCCGGTGCATCTTTGCCTGGGGTGGACCCCAGGGCCCCAGGACCCCAGGACCTCGGGCATGCTAGGAGCTGGCATGTACGAAGCTCAGCTGAGGAGCTGCCCCAGCACTCCCCGGCTAGTTCGCCTCAGTACTAAGACTAGGGAGAGATGTAATCCTAGTATTCTGGAAGGCTGAGGCAGGAAGGTCACAATTTCAGGGCCAGCCTGAGCAATTTAGGTAGAACCTATCTCAAAAAATTTAAAAACAGAAAAAGTCCTGAGGATATAGCTCAATGCGAAGGCCTGGGTTCAATCCCCAGTACCACCCTCCAAAAACGAAGAGGGAGGGGAGAGAGGTACAAAGGAGTTGGTGTGTGGGGGACCTTTGCGTTTGCCGGGAGCTGCTGCTTTGCAGGCACTACCTCAGCTTGGGACCATCTCACTTCTGGTCAGCTGATCTTGCTGCTGCTGGCCCGGATATTTTTCATGGCTCTCTCACACTTCAGAGAACTAACCTAAGCTTATCATCTCCCCAAAAACTGCCCCCCCCTTGTTTTAAAAAAAAGCCAAACAAACCCTTCTTAAAAGACTTTATTTTTCCCTCCAGTGCCAATCATTTTGCCTTACTTATTCTTCACACTGCTTTCTGATTGTCCTTCCGTGCTAAAGAATCTGATAAAATCTTTAGGGTAAAGTCCACACTATTAAACTTCAAAATTTGTGTAAAGAATGCTGGCTTTATTTTATTCCCACTACGTGGTAGCACGTCTGTAATCCTAGTTCCTTAGGAGGCTGAGGCAGGAGGATTGCACTGTGAGGCCAGCCTGGGAAGAGTCTAAGAGATCAGAGAGAACAATGAGGAAAAAGGATTTATTGGGTTTTAGGTACACACCGACTCAGCTCGACCTTATGATGCCCAAAATGGCTGAGCAGCAAAAAAAGGAGAGGCTTTAGTTTTATACATTTGGCCAAGGGGGTTGGTCTTTAGAAACTGGGAGTAGAGACATGCCAAGGAGGGTACAGAAGCAAGACAAAGCAGTTAATAACTTAACCTTGAAAGAAAGCAGAGCCTTATGAGCTGTTGGAGAACAAGATGACATAAACTCTGTCTACAAGACATAGTTGCCAATCTTATCTGAACCAGAACAAGAAGTTAGAGCTACAGAGGAGGAGAGGGGAGACCGAGGGGGATTGCTCTTTAAGTCTTGCTTTAGTATGATCCTGTCTCAAAGTAAACATTTTCAAAATGGTGTAGCTCAGTGATAGAGCAACCCTGGGCTCAATTCTCAGCACCACAAAAACATACATAGATTTAATTGTGAAATACATACAATAAGAGTTACTGTCTTAACCACTTCTTTTCTTTCTTTTTTTTTTTTTTTTTGGGGTGCTGCGTATCAGGCTAAGAGCCTTACATGTGCTAGCATGTATTCTGTCACTGAACTACACCCCAAGCTTCAATTTTAACGATTTCCAAGTGTGCAAGTGGGTAGTGTTAAATACAGTCACAGTGTTGTGAACCTTCAGAGCCTATTCATCTCAAAAAACTGAATCTGAAGCCCAGCATAGTGACACACACCTGTAATCCTGGCACTCGGGATGCTGAGGCAGGAGAATGGCTTTGGGTGCAAGGCCAGCTTGGGCTACAAAGTGGGTTCAAGGACAGTTTGGGCTACAAAGTGGGTTCAAGGCCAGCTCAGGCTACAAAGTGAGTTCAAGTCCAGCCTGAACTGCATATTAAACCTCTGTCTCAAAAAATCACAAAACTTGAAACTGAGCTGGGCATGGTGGCACAATCCTGGCACTTAGGGAGGCTGAGGCAGGAAGATCATAGTGATTGAGCCCAGCTGACACAACTTAGACCCTGTCTCAAAACAAAACATAAAAAAGGGCTAAGGATGTAAGTCAGTGTGAAGACCCTGGGTTCGATCCCCAGTACCACACAAAAAAACTCCTTTGTACCCATTAAACAAAAACCCTCAATTCCCCTTTGCCTCAGCCCCCAGTAGCTATGATTCCATTTTTCTTAGAATAATATCCTCCACATTCATCCATGTTGTAGATGGATCAGGATTTCCTTTTATTAAGACTGAATAATGTTCCATTGTGTGTGTATATCACATTTCCCTTTTTACCTATCACTGGACATTTGAGATCCTATTTTCAATTCTTTCTGATATATATACACTGAAGTAGAGTTGTTAGACTCTAGTGTATTTCTGTTTATGTTTTTGGTGTTGGGAATTGAACCCAGGGCTTCCTGAATGCTAAGCAGATACCATACCCATGAATTATACCTCCTTGTTTTCAACTTTTTTGAGACACTGCTATTTGAGGTGCTATTCTTTGACCTATGAAGGAAGTGGAGTTGGGAGGACAGGCCTGGCAAGCAAGAGAAATTTGAGAGTCCTCAGAATAGGGATGGTATGTAGGTTGGATTGTACAAGAAAGCTCAGGCTTGGGTAGAGATGGTGCAAGTGAGAACAGAGTGAAGAAGACAGGCTGTTTAGTCTGCATCCACACTGCTTCTCAATTTGAAAGTGAGTTCAGGGCCAGCCTGGACTTCATAATGAAACTCTTTCTCAAAACAAAACAAGAAAAAGGGCCTGTATGGCCTCAAGGCTCATAATGTTATTAAAGCTAAGTAGAAATATTATAGGTAGTCCAACAGGGCTAGACCCTTGAGGAAGTCAGTGCAAAAAATGAGAACACATTACAACTGTAGCTGGAGGTATATCCATTGAAGGCCAGGCCTCAAGACAAAGATGGAGTGACCAGGCCTACATGCCTCCCTGAGGGATAAGCACTGTATTATAATTGGTATCACCTGGTCCAGTAAAGTCTAGATAGACATCAGTCAGTCACCCAGCTGGGTGGCCAGGACCTCCTGACTCATATCTTCTTCCAAAAAAGTCCTTATTCTTTCCATGTACACTTGTCATGTGACCTGCTTCTCCATTAGATCAACATTACCTAAGCAGCTATACTTGTAAATTTATTGGTTGATCATAGCTTTGTCCCACCTTGTATTCACCTTGTGATCTTGCTCTATAAAACTTCCTCTGGAAAGTGGGATCCACAGAAACCTACTCAGGTCCACTCCTGTCTGTCTCAGGACCTACCTCTCCCTTAGTAAAGTTTCCTACTCTTAATATCCACTGATCCTTAGAATTCATTGTTTGATTTTGGGGCACTCAAGTTGGCATATCAGACATCTAGAGGGTTGGGAGTTATAGTATTTCCCTTACTTCCCTTATCATGTGGAGGCCCCCTACCAAGATAACTGAAAGGAGGTAAGAGTTTGCTTTTGTTTTATGGATTCTAGATTGTGACTCTTAGGTGATCAAAAATTGCCATCCTTGTTTGTCAACTGCTCATCCCTTGAATTTTATGCCTTGTCTCTTATATGCATTGTTTTTGTTAAAACAATGGTGGAAAGATTATTTCTTTGTTAGGCCATTTGACTTCTGCAAGCAAGGTCTTGTATTCCTGTTTTATATATGCTGCATTTGGACTTACTAGTTTTACTAAGTTATTAATTTTATTAGTTTACTAAAGTTACTAGTTTTACTAGTTTACTAAATTTATTGATGTTCCTTGTTTGACCTGTTTGACTGTTGTGGTTTGTTATGTTAGACAACTGTTGTGGTTTGTTATGTTAGACAACTACCACAAAATGTTAGTGCACCCCCAATGGACTTTGATATGAAATGCTGTAAAAATGGGTCTTTTTATAAAATCTAGTTTATGTTTTAAAAATGTACATGCCTACTAATACATTATGGGGCTCCATTTGCTAGTTAAAAGGCAATAGGACAGCAACCATTCTTAAGACTTGGAGGACAGGTTTCTCTGGGACAGTCTTGCCTGATGGCCCCTCTACACTCTAGAGGGAATGTAGAGCCTGTTTTGCCTCAGTTCCTTTTCAGGTCTAATCTGCTGGTGAGGAGACAATCTTAGCCTTGAGATTCCCTATCCTTGCCTTTCCAGGCTGAGAGCAAAAACTCATGGGTAAATTGTGTCAATAACTCACTGTGAGCATGAGAAGAAAAGAATTCCTTTTTTCTGATCTTATTTCTGATCTTTCCCCTGTCACTTTGTAACTTTCCCTTTTTTGGAGGCATGTTTCTGTTAAGGTTAGAGAGAGAGGAACTGTCCCAGCCTTTCCTTCATTTCCAATAACTAGGAATCTTTAAGTTGAGCCTCCAGACAATGAGCTTTCGCTAACACCAAAGACAGGGAAGTCATCTTAAATGAGGAACACATACCCCATCTCTGAATCAGATGACACATTGGAATTTTAGCTATCCAGGAGAACCTGCATAAAAGCAATGTTCCTG